CCCTTTTCAGGATSAGAAGACATGTTGTCAACAACTTGACACTTCCTGAGATACTGCTGACTTCTGGGTTTTTTATTTATGTTCTGAAATACAGCACTCAAGAGGCTGATCTGTCTTTGCCATTTTGCTTACATTTGTAATGCTCCCCACCTTTTTAATGCTACGTCATAGAAAGAAAGTGAGAATCAGCATTTGAGAATGAGAGGGGACTTAGGCCTAGAGGTTTCTCAAGGCAGGAAGGGACTGGCCTAGGATTCTGGTGCACCATCCCATTTCAGCCACCCTGAGRCTATAGCTGCACTTGCTTTGGGAGGCTACCATTAGGTAAGTTGTGGCAATGTAGTTGTAACTTCATAGTCCGAACTCCTTGTCTCTAGGATTTTACAGAGCATGGCCCATTATTTTCAATAGAGCAGGCTAGTCTGAGAAACAGGAATCAAATTTGCTGCTTAGGTAGGAAAAACTGAAACATTTTTGATATAAAATGAAAATGTCGTTGGATGAGCATAACCTGGTGTTAAGGGGGTTTTGCGGTCTGTTATCAGCATCTAGGATGTGAGAATTGGGCCCAAACGGAAAAAATCCAAGACAAAGATTGGGATTCCAATTAGTGGGAGAAGCTCATCATAGGGAGTAATTCTTAGTGAGGAACACATAGGAGATTGGCCAGGCAGTATATGTGAGATGGAGTTGTGCTTCCTAGGTTGGGATTGGAAGGAAGGAGCTTATGTAATGGGAAGGGGGTGACAAGAAAAAAATAGAACCATAGGATTCTATACCAGTGTGGCACCTGAATTCTAGTCCTAATAGCAAAGAAGGCATTTAGGAGCAAGGACCAAGACCCAGAGTGCACAAGATTGGTAGGGACTCTGAGCAAGGCCCTGAACAGTGTTCAGGGTGTCAGAACTGCTGCTGTTGCTGCTGCTGTTGCTGCTGCTGATCCTGCTGTTGCTACTGCTGGCACCTGTGCCCTTGAGGACAGAGAGCTGGGCTTAGTTCTGGCCTCAGATCAGGATGGGTTCTGGGAATATGGCAAGCCCCATTAACCCCAGGTTCAGATAGCCCTGCTGTGAAGGAAGGAAGGAAGGTGGATTCACAGGCTGAGCGGTCCTGGACCTGGCACCAGTACTTGGGCTCAGCCTCTGCTGCTGGATGTGGCTGTCTTCCACATCCTGACCTCATTGAAACTCAGAACATTTGGGAAAAGCTCACTTTTCCATTTATCATCTGCTATTGGAAATTATACTTAAACATTCTAGAAACACTATCACTGTTTTATTATAGTTATTAACAATCATTTTTGTGATATTAACATTGTAAATTATTACTAGTGTTTTAAATTGTTTCCTTCTAACAGGAGATAAGAAGACTCATAGGATCTATCAAAAAAAATCTCTTTTGAAAGCTTATYTGCAACTGTCTAGCATCTTTTTATTATTATCATTATTTCACATGTACCTCTATTCATCTGCTTGACTATTGATGAGGTTAGGGCTGACATTTGTGGTAGTGTTTGGTTGATCCACATGAAACTCCTGATATTCAACTGCAGTTTCATATAGGTCAAAATAAAGGTATTGTGTCCAACTACAACTAAAAAATAAAATTAAAAAAAGAAGGGATGAAGATAGGCTGTTCAATGAAAAGAGCCAAGCATCCAGCAGAGACTCTGCTGTGCAGCACTCCCCTCTAGCCTGCAGCATTTAAGCTTCCTTATCTCCATCCATAATGATCTGAAGTCTGAATGTAGTACTTCCCTGTCAATCAGAAACTGACATTTACCTTAACCAACAGGGCTTTAAGTCATAAATTCCAACTTATGTCAGAAATTTTGTAAAGAGAGTATGTCTTCCAGAACCATATTTCCCCAACATTTGGCTAAATCCAGAGCTTCAAAAGTAAGTTTAAAATGTTTTATTGTATTTTAAACCTCCATGTCAGTCCTTTCTTTCCCTATGTGAGTGGATTCATACAGAATCATGCATGTTCTGAAACATATACATGCATATACCTATGCATGAGTAAAGGTGYGAGTTTACAAGAAGGCAGGCCAACATTAGGATGCCATCTCTTGGACATAACTGTCTGTCTACAAAGAACACAAATAAGCACAGGGTGGCAATATAGAAACTGGCTCACAGCAGAGTCTCAGAGCCATGTTCCAAGCTCAGAATGCTGCAGAAATTGTATCTTAAAGCCCCTCCTACCCTCTTCTTTTGTACTTTCTTTCATCTTCCCCAAAATTTGTGGCCAACCTCTTCTGCACAGTGATTTTTGTCATTTAATATATTCTTTTGAACTTCACACTCACTTCTGCTCTGTATAATCTGGAGCCATGTCCTTACGTGCCTTGCCTCATAGAGTCAGGAACTATTCCATTCTAGTGATGTTTCAGGACGTCTGTGTGGTTTTGCATCCATAATTGCCGAAGAGATAAAGAGGGGCTAGAATGCAGTTAGGATATAGGCTAATGATTAAATGGCTAGAGGGCCTGGTTATGAATGAAGATCTAGGAGAACAAAATTTCAACACAAGCAGCTACTGAGCTAGAGAATATCCAAGTGCTGGATGTGTAAATAAACCTTGAGGATTATTTATTAAATGCTGTGCAGCATGAGTTGGGGTGATGATGTGAAGTTAAGAAAAAGAAAATGCACCACCATATGATCATTTAAAAATCTCAAATTGGGAGTATGCATTAGATGGACAACAAACCTTCTGAGTAATAATATCCTTTTGGTGGGGTGTGCCAGGGGGCATTTGACCATTTAGCCACATTTCCAGCCCTACTTTGTATTTTATTTAGAGACAGGGTCTCATTGAGTTGCTTACTGCCCCGCTTTTGCTCAGGCTGGCTTTGAACTCATGATCCTCCTGCCTCAGTCTCCTGAGCCACTGGAATTACAGGCATGTACCACCATATCTGGAAAGTAACAGTATCTTAATGAAAACACAGTTGTACTGGGGGAAAAAAAAGAAGAAACATTTCTCAATCTCTTTAGTATAATGATTTTTCAATTTTTCTCTGCAGAAAATTCTTTCTATAATCTCATATGGTGCAGCTTAAATAGCTGACCCTACTCTGTTGTACCAGAAGCAGCACTTTATCTCAGGACTCTTGCATATGCTGATGTTTGTCCTCAGCCATTAAACCATGGCACACCCAGTGCTATGTTAGCCTTTGAATATAGGCCTCTGGTTCTTTTTATACAAGAATTATGCCATGGTTTCCTTCATGTACCTTTTGTTGATGGTGTTAAAATCTTTTTCCCACCTCTGCCCACTGAACTGGTGACAATAATTAAGCTTATCTATTTCAGGGCTTCCCAAGAAAGTCCTAAAAGGCTTTGGGAAAGTTGGTTACACTGTGTAAACCYTTTTTCTTACCACAAAATGAATGTGTTAATACTATCCTCAAGTAATTAGCTATATGTAATTAGAAATGATAGATATAAAATCTTATATTGTGATGATACTATACTATACACTCAATAAAAGTAGCTTTTTATTTTTATTATAAATTGTATTTATTGATATATATCACTATAAAGTGCCTAGCATACAGTAAGTGCTCAGTTAGCAGATTTTTAATTGATAACCAAACAGATAAGTCAGTAGATCAATATCAATTATTATCATTTATAGAACATGCATGAAAAGGGGCCCTCATGTCTGTAGCAAAGTTTGCTACTCAGTCATAATTCTAGTACAGCCACCGTGTCATGTTGGGTCAGGCTGATGTCATTATAACCATCCATCCCAATTCCAGAGATCCATTCCAGTTATAAGTGGCAGTGAAGTCCTTCTGAAGTTAGATTGCTCCTTGGAAAACTCAGTCTACCTTAAAATAGACKAACATTTGCTTTGTCCATAATATTTTATTATGACCTTAAAATAACAAAAGAAAACGTTCATGTATTCATAAAGAATTTATTGTGTACTGTGTATCAGCAAATTTACAGTGAATAGGAAGTCAGTTCCCAAAACATCAGCTCCCTGGATGTTGCTGTGTTTGGCCACATGTGCCTCTCAATGCAGTGGGTGATGATGCTGTGGTGGTGATAGCAGCTACACATATTGGATGTGTGTCTGTCTGTCTTGTGATTTCTCATGGTCGTGGCAGTTTTTCTGAGTTGGATCTGCTTTTCCCACTTCATTAAGTAGCAACTCTGAAGCAAGAGCAGGGACTGCCTTCCCCAGAGGAGTACCCAGGTGACTTGTCATGTCTGTACTTTCCCTGGCAGTGGCTGCTCTTTCCTAGCAGCCCCAAAGATTTGCCACCTTCCTGGAGACAGGAACAGGGGAATGTAGTTATAAAGGAGACAGCTTATCAGCCTGTGGAAGAGACCAGATCATTTGTCCTGACAGAGCATTTTGCCTGTGACCCGCTGTTAGGTTCCAACAGCGTCCAGGATTCAGTCTTGACATTTAAAGGGACAAAAAATTTCAGCAATCTGATGGGACTCTCCTAGTTCACCTATGAGGTGTTCCTGCACATTCTAATACAAAAACCCTGCAGTAAGTTATAGCAGGGCTAAGCAGAAACACAGAGACAGTGTTTCTGGATACATGAATATAAAGAAATGAAAGTCTGACACTGGTAAATGTTTTTAGCTATGCAGAGCATTTGGTGATGCAGGTAGTCAAGCCAGGGCATAAATACTAGAGAATACAAACTGAGCCATGTGTCATATGACATTTCCACAGCTCCATTCAAAGCACATCTGTATGCTATTCTTAGATTTTTCCATTTCCAAAATTGTAAATGCCATATGTGCTGATAAATCTACCTTTAATATTTACTGACCAGTGTTTGTACTTTAGAATGTGAGATTTTCTCAAAAAGCAGCATGAAAGAAACTGCTTTTGAGTGTGCTCAATGAGAAAAGAATGTCTCTATTCAGTTTTTAAATATTAAATGTGAGTCTGTTCCAATGACAATGGATGGCTGATTTATCACTATAAACTGACAACTGTGCTTTCATTTTTATACAAACCAGTGCTTTTGGCTGCCCTTATTCGGACATGAACTTGAAAAAGGAGGCAACGCTTCATGATCGTCTGAGAGAACAAACACAGGCACATTTGGAAGCAGACTCTTCACATTCAAAATTGAAAAATCTCTACAGTTTGAACTTCAATGGAAAACATGAAACAGTAAACAGTCAGCCCAGGTAAGAAACTTTTTGTAAATGTGTACCAGAAAGTAAACCTGATCAAACAGTAAAAGAACAAATTTGCTACTTGTAACGGTTCCTTATATTTCTTCGAAATAATTATTCTTATTTGGGGGGTATTGATACATTCACTGGATCATAGAATTGACCGAATCCTTGGTGTTCATTTAACACAATATTTTCTATTGCTTCAACCTCAAATATTTTCATTTACCTTTTTCTGTGTAATACAAATTGTATATAAACAATAGAAAGCATTGTGTCATCTATATAATTCTAAAAGATTCATCTTTGTCTTGAAAACATCTTTATTCTTGTTCTTTCTTTTGGCACAGAGCTGTTTGTATCTGCTGAGTCATATCAGGATTGCCTCTCATACCTGTCACTCGTCTTTGTCATCTCTAATCCAGATGTACCTGATATGACKTCTTCCTGTGAAACACATCATCCTTTTGACTCTTAATATAAACTTATGCTTTTAAGTATCAGTTTTCAATTTTTATTTACATATAATTAATTGCCAAAGTATTGCAAATACAATCTCATTTGATATTTTTTTAAACTATTTTATGAGCAAACAGTCTAAATAACATCTTGTACCAAAGCACTCCATACTCTGTGCTAGGAAACATAGTAAATCAAACATTAACCAAATAGCTGGAGACCAGACAAGGATTCAGCCAAGAAAAGCCAGACAGAGAAGTGAGAAGTGGATGTTTTCCATAGGCAAAAGGCAGTCATGTTCAAAGTCTCCAGAATCAAGACCCCACCTGTGAGCTTTGAAGGCTTCCTTCTCCTAAGCCTAGAGCCAGTTTTTCTATTCAACACATAGGTATAGAGTTTCCTTTGGAAAAGCTTTCTGCCCTTTTGCACCCCAATCCCAGCAGGGCAGGAGCCCCTCCATTCTCAAGGATCCACCTGATTACCTCTTGGTTGAGAGAATTTGGTTGGTAGGATATACTTTTTATACATCCTTGACTGTGGATATTTTTTTTTCCACACAAATGTTTTAGAACACTCAGGTGACATTTCGTTTTTATTATATAGCTTGTTTGGTTTTGATGGCTCTCCACACGATTGCAGCTTAGCCTCCTTTTTGTTGCATGGTCTATTTCCTATGGATACACATTCCTCTCTATTTTTATATCTGTAACTTGCATTTTTATTATTTGGTACACACCCACTCCTCTTGTTGAAACTTCACAGGGTCTAGTTGTTCTTTACTGCCTGTTCACACCCACACTGTTTACAACTTAAGAAGTTGAGAGCTTATTCGTCYTTTCCATTTCCCAATTGGGGAAGAAATTTTCTCTTCCCTCCCTCCCACCCTCCCTTCTTTCCTTCCTTCCTCCCTCCCTCCTTCTTTTCTTCCTTCCTCCCTCCTTCCCTTCTTTCTTCCTAAAGAACTGAGTTTATTTATTCCAAGTCATAGAGACCAGTATTTCTACTTGCCTTCATCCTTTTTGCTGTATTCTGTTGTATTTTTTCCACATAAAAACCCAGTCAGTCTCTCTTGTAAATATTTCTATATTCATCCTCAATGTCAAAAGTCACAGAGACTAAGCAGATCTTTGAACTGCTGTTAAAAAAAAATAAAACACTGTCATGTTGTCTCAGAGGTTAGCTAAGTTGTTCTTTCCAGCAAAATCTTTTCTCCCCATCTTATTTGTCTTAGGAATTGCCCCTTTTCAGGATATAATATGTACTTTGCCATTTTTGAAGAGGTTATGCACTGAAATATATAAGGTATAATTACGATAGGTAAAAAGAAACAGTGGAAAATGTTAGCTAACAACTGAGCAGAAAACTTACATCCCTTCCCATTGTGCCCTATCCTCTCTCATGCACATATACAACTGTGTGAGTAGCTGAAGCTGAATAGCAGGCACAGCTTACAACCTGAATCCTTAGKCTTTCAAATCACAAGACCAGTGCAATCCCTGTTCTACAGTAGTTGTCCACTTTTTTTCTAACCAATTGTCTTAATAATGTTTAAATGCATAGTATTAGCAATAGCAATCTTGGTCTAAGCCCTCTTTCTACCCCATCTCCATGACATTGTTCATACCCTTGAATTCCAGGCTGAGGAAGAAGGAGAACAAGGAAATCACCAGGGGATGTTAAATAGGCTGACCATGTGCAGATAAGATCTGTTTCAGTCTTCCTCAGTTTTTCTCCTAGGACTTTTCTGAAACTACCATTCCTCTATCCCAAATTTTTGCTCTTGAAATCACAAGATATCAAACCTAGAGAGGAAGGAGAACATTTAAGTTTCATCTCTTCTCTCCTGCATGTTGAAGAAAGGTCATTTTTACCTGGTTTCTTTCATGGGATGAGGGAGGGGTTTACCTTGGTGACAATTAGTACTACAGATTCATCCTTCCCCAAGCTCTGGACAACCTTCAGTAATCTCTTGTATAAATACTATTTGTCACCTTAGAATCTCCAGAATTTTTATAATTCAAGTGCAAAGTGTAACATTCTGGGCTGGGGATATACCTCAGTTGGTAGAGAGCTTGCCTCGCATGCAAGGCCCTGGCATCCCTGTTCATCCCCAGCACCACACACACACACATACACACCAAAAAAAAAAAAARRAAAARRAAAAAAACATTATTTTTAAACATTTTTTCACAATCAATTAGGCATCACCTGACCATTTAGAGAATTTTGTTTTTTCCTTACTGTGTCTCAGTTTTGTGATTATTTTCAAAAGRTCTGGCTGCTCTCATTTTAATATTTGTAGGAGCCTATTGTTAACATGCTTATGGCTCCACTGCATGGTTTACTAGTGGAAAGAGTCCAAATGCATTCATATTTTTAGTAGAGGATAATGCTTTAAATTTGAGTATATTATATACTACTAGATGTTTGCAAAGATTTACCTTCAAACTAGTCAGATATTCATAGTATGATAATTTTCAGGAGTCAGATTCACAATGGGTCACAATTATTGAATATATATTTTATGCTTATACAAAAATACTTATTTTTCTTTGGGTTTCTAGAATTAATAGTAGTATATTTATGTGCATTAAATGGAGGCAAACAGCACACCACTTGAGTTTCTTCTTTTGAGTCTGAACCCCATAGGCAAAAATACATGTTATATAGTGTAACAGCTTAGACCAAAACAGGTGTTTTTGTTCCCATACCAGTGCCATTTGTAGGTAAGGAAACAGGGACTCTTGTGTTGCTGATCTGGAACCCAAACATTGGTTTTCTGATTAAATCCAGCATATTTCCATACAAGAAACAATGCAATACAATTTCCATACAATAATAAATGCTTACTAATAATATCACACACTTCTGTTGAGCTAAACAATTTATATAGATCCTCTTGTTCATTTTATTTCACCCTTATGACAACCTGTGTGTGGTAAGGTATCTCATTATGATCTTACAGTAAAAGCACCTGAAGGTTCAGAGAGGTTAGGCAAAGTATCTACAGTCACCTGGATAGCCAGTAGAAAGGTTGGAATTTGAATGCAGATTTACTGGTCTCCAAACCCTATTTTAACTACACCAGCATAACATAAAGATGGTTTAAAGGCTTTGAAAAGATCTGGCTGGGTTTCTACTTAGACAAATTTTTAGTTCTGTATAGAATTCTCAGAGTCATCTTATAACATGTATTCCTCATTTTGTGAAAATAGAACTACCCAAGGGGAAGAATGTTACCATGTTTTCCCCAAAGTGTTTATTCTTATTTATTCCATATATAACACCAAATGTTCTATCTTGAACACATTTCATCATAATATAAAAGACTTCTATCTGCAACGAGAATGAAATTATAGTCATTAAAACATTTTCATCATAAAGAAAATTACCCCGAATGTAGCTGCCCCTATATTATCCATTAGCTCTTTCCCTCAGGCTTGAGAAGGACATTTTCTCCAGGCTTTTTCCCACCCACCTAAGTGTTCTTTAATAACCTCTTATGCCTCCTCAAAGCAGTGTTCACTATAGCGTTTGAATTCATAGCACCACTGTTGGCTAAAATATCTGTCATTCTCAGTCAGTGCTATTAGGAAAACCTAAGAAAATGCCTAGTAAAGCTCACTTGTTTTCCCCAGTGTCTGATGTATTGTAAATTTTATGCAGTTCATGAAGGCCTATATTGGTAATAGAAATGGCTGGAGGAAATTATGGTAATCAAAGGGAATGGCAYGTAGTGGAATCATCCTTTAATGATTCTGATAATAAATTGTACTGCTGTGAGCTAACTAGTTTAGTTCCATTATTCAAATTATCAGCAGCATAAATACCTTCTATGAGAGCCATTCTCAGAGTTATAACAGAGTTAGGTGGTTCTTCCACATATTAACCTCCCAAGTAAGTAAATGGGCTTTCTTTAATTCATCRGGCTTTTCTCTCACTTCTTCTCACATATATTCTATGCTTGGGGCATGTAACCTGCTCAGTGTCCCCATCCCTCCACATCCACAGTGTTGCTTCTTTCTGGCATTTAAACCTTTGCTCCATCCTGAGTACTTTGTTTACCCTGCCTRCAGCTTCTCCCTTCCACAAGGTTCATCTCTGGACAATTTCTAAGCCATTCCCACCTATCTAAGTTTCTTGAGGATAGAGATTCTATTTTACATGTCAATGTGTTTCTAACACATAATATAAAGCCTGACACTTATTAGTCACTCCATGAATTAACTAGATTTTGAACAATCACTCATGATGTGTCAGGACAGTGATTGGCCCTGGGATGTAGAATCAAGGGAGCCCCACCCCTGCCCTCAGCTCTCCTCTGTCCCTCCTATCTGTGCTGCATACTGGTGGCTTATTTCTGTGTGTGTCTGCGTGTACCATTTCAATACTTGCTTTGTGTGTGTACCTTCTTTCTCAAAAGAACTGTAGGCTGCCAAAGGGAGGAACCAATGTTCTTTATTTTTGTTTTTACACATCATAGATTCCAATTATATGTCTTAAGTTATTTGATTTAGCTATACACATTTATTTTCCTCTGAGAGTCTCACTTG